TCGGTTCACACAAAGATGCCTTCGACATGGAAGTAGCACCCGAGTCTGCTGTTCATGTTGCCGACAGCATCGACAGCTCGCTGCTCTCTTCAATTGTGAAGGACTCAACCGAGAGCTTGGAGATTGCACGTGAACAGATCTCGACAATACTCTGCGCCACAAACGTATCAACTTCAGATGCACGAGCTATCAAGATTCTATCCGAGGCAATTGGACTTCGCGCCGCAAGACTGTCATCGGTGGCCATCGCGGGTGTTGCGCTGCAGTACGGAAGGCTCGCCTCGAAGGCGACTATCAAAACAACTGCAGCGCCGTGGGGTATGGGTATTCATATCCTGGCGCCTTTCTTTTACGGCATAAGAAGTGCCTGGAAGGTGCTAGCCAAGTGGCTACGAATTAAAATTCATATCAAGTTTCCCGCCAAAGACTCGTCACCGACGTTCCGAGACCCAGAGCACGGAGCAGGTCCCATCTCAAACGACGCGGAAGAAGGCGTCATTGACATTGGCGTCGATGGTTCTCTAATCGAGCATTTCCCAAACTTCGAGGGAAACATCAGAGAAGCTCTGCGGGAAGTACCTGAGATCGGCGGTGAAGGCGAGAAGCGTATCAAAATCGGCATGGCAAGAGATGGCAGTGGTGTTGGCGCTGCATTAATCGCATGGGCGGCAAGGACATGATCATTTAGGGACTCGGTGAATAAAAATAACCAATCAATTGTCGCTCCTAGGTAATAGAGACATTCACCTGAAGTCGCGCTGCTTTCACGGCTCACATTCTGAGAGATGATTCACTGCTTCACGCAGTTACCAAACCTTGACTATTTAAGTAGTGAACCGTTAATCCATTCTCCGAGGCTTCCACCCTCAATACTTCGCAATGCAACATAAGAACACAGCAACATCAATTCCAATAAGTCTACCGTCGACTTGTTACATAAGTATTGAAATCGACCGGTCATGCGTTTCCGATCCTGGGCGGCTGTTGTGGTCATCTCGACATTCGCACACCTCTCTTCGGCGCACATGATGATGTCTGATCCATCACCCTTGAAAGCCAAGATCAACCCAAGCACCGCCGAAGGAAATGTCGACTACAGCTACACAAACCCTCTATCATCGAGCGGATCCGATTACCCTTGTAAGGGCCACTTGAGCGTGCTGGGCACCTCAGAAGCAGATCCTGTCGCTACCTGGAACGCTGGCGAGGATCACACGATCACTCTTTCAGGCCATACCACCCACAATGGCGGTTCATGCCAGGTTTCTATGTCTGTGGATGGCGGCAACACCTTCAAAGTCCTTCGAAGCGTCATTGGTGGCTGCCCTGCCGGGGATAGCTACCAGATTTCATTCACCCTGCCTGATGATACTCCCTCATCCGATCAAGCCATCCTGGCCTGGTCATGGTTCAACAATCTGGGCAACAGAGAGATGTACATGAATTGTGCTGTCATTAAAATTGGGAGCGGCGGCAGCGGCAACGACTTTCGCGCTCAACCAGACATCTTTCGTGCTAATGTTGGCAACGGATGCAGAACCGTCGACAACGCAGACGTGATGATCCCAAATCCCGGATCCAACGTTGAGCTTGTTAGCACCAACGCAGTTCCGCCAACGGGCGATTGCGAATCTGGCCCTGGTGCTCAAGCACCGGGCGGATCTGACTCTAATTCTGGCTCAGGCTCAAGCTCAGGGTGTGGTTCTGGGCAGGTTTCTGGGGTTGGTGAAGACGGGGATGGTGAGGACGGGAAGCTTTACAAGCCTGGCAACGATTGGCCACAGGGGTTCAATTGCAACAACGGGAGGACAGTTGCAGTGGGCCCTCGGCAAACAGCTCTCTTATTTGGGGGTCTGATCGTCGCCCTGGGCCTGCATACAGCGCTACGACTGTTACGGGGTTAGCTTCATGTGAGAGCAAAAAAGGGTCTCTGAATTACTGGTGAAATGCAGCTTCCATAGTAACAAAAATGCATCAGTGAATATCATTCTGTGAGTTTCACCTTTTAAGCTTCACTCTCGTTGGCTGGTCTTTGCCGCAATGCGATGTTCATGATGGGAGAACGAGAGTCAGTATTACAAACGCCTGACATCATCATGCACCAGTCTCTCGTGTTTTGGTCTTTACGGGGCAGGCTCCGACGCCGCAAACCAATACTCTCCCAGCAGTCACGTGGCTCCGTGCCATTCGCCCAGGCTGCGCACTCATTTCCTCGCGCCATGGCTGTGTTTACAGAATATACTTCAAGCCCAGCAACAGTTGCTTTCGCGGCGTGAATGAGCAACGACGTGTACAACCTCTAAAAACATGCAACCCTTGCGCCCGCTACTGCCGGCGCAAGAGAGTGCCGTCGAACCAGCAAAGATCGATAATCTCCCTAGGAAAAGACCTCGGCCGGTGCAAGCTGCCTGCAACGCATGCCGTAAGCGCAAGTCAAGGGTACGTCGTCTCTGAAGTCTGGGAAGTACAATGGAATGCTCATATAACCTGCAGTGTACTGGAGAGAGGCCCACGTGCAGTGTGTGTCTTTACCGGCGCAGCTCCTGTGAATACACCACGCGACCTGGTGAATCTCGACAGCAGGCCACCAGTCGGAAACACAATGAAGTGCAAGGTCGAGCGACGATCCACGAGCAAGTTTTAGCGCTGTTGAAAAACTTGCCGGAAGAGGCTGCCCAGGATGTCTTCCAGAGGATCAGGTCCGGGGCCGATGCCGCGACGATTGTGAACCATGTCGAGGCTGGAGATCTGTTGCTTCAGATGGCTGTTGCACCCGAAACACGGCTACGATACGACTTCCCCTATCGTTCCGAAATGCCTGAGATTTACATCCAAAACAATCCTTATTTGAATTCGTTCATCTACGAAGCGGCATCACTATACTCTGCACATGGGCAAGGAAGACCTTCGCATGCCACCGCCAGTGGATCGCAGGAACTCCAAAGTGTCTACACCAAACCGTTTCACGCTGCACAAGTCATCGAGCCCCACTTGTCCGACGCGAAGATATCATGGTGGACTAACGTGTGTGATGACGATTCACTCATGCGAGACCTCCTCAGGGCCTTGTTCAGATGCGAATATCAATTTTCCGCGGCGTTTCAGAAAGACCTGTTCCTCGAAGACTTGGTCGCACAAAAGCAAGACTTTTGCTCTTCGCTACTTGTCAATATAACGCTTGCATATGCCTGTGTATGTTGATTATGCCCTCGCAGCCGACGCGACTAACTAGGCATAGGTCTGCTATCAACAGTTTTCGAATCGCGTCGAGTATTGGAACCCCAACACGCTTGGGTACCGCTTCCTTGCAGAGGCCAAGCGTCTCTGGGAACTGAAGGCCTCTGAGCCACGGGTGACCACCATACAAGCTGGCGTCCTTTTCAGCGTTTTCCACAACCTGTGCGGTCTAGATGAGCTTGGTCAGCCGTACAGAATTCACAGCGTGACTTTGGCACGCAGGCTGCGGCTCTTCTCTAAAAGCTCATGTGGAAATAATGACTCGAAACGGAAAGGCTGGGCGTACACCGCCTGGGCTCTCTACAACTGGGAAACGTAAGTGCACTACCTCAAGGTTATGTGATAGCATCTAATTGTTACAGGCTGGTTGCATTTTCCTTCATGATACCGCCTTTAGTCACAGAGCCTCCGGACTGGCCATTGCCTGACCCGGCAAAAGAGGGCGGGTGGTATGGCGAAACCTGGCTCCAATACCCATTGGTTTCGGTCCCTCAACCAACTCACTTTGGTCACATCTTTCGAACGAGGGCCAAATTTAGAGTCATCATGAATGAGTACTGCGATGCAGCGTTTTCACCAAATGGAGCCATCAGCCTCGATAAAGCCAATAGGCTTCATGACAAATTGAGGAAATGGTATAGTGACTTGCCAGAGCCACTTGAGCCCAAGACAATCGCACTTCCAGGTCACTTTCAACTGCAGTAAGTCCCCCTCCCCGGAGGCAACGCTACTGCTTTGCCACCCATCGTCATCTATGGACGGAAAGAACAGACATTCCAATAACTATTCATCGCAGCATATACTACTACCATTTGCTACTTATGATCTACGAGCCTTTACTAGCCGCCAGTAAAGGTCTCGATCCGACACTACAAAAAGTCGTTTTCGACGCAAAGAAATATCTCCAAACCTTGATCCGCCTCTACTATCTCCGGCACGGCTATGAAGCTATGGACCTGTTTCTCGTGATACCCCTCATGCTCACCGGATACGACTGCATCAACGCGATATTGGAAGAGAAGTCTGAACATCAGATCGAAATATTGCGGTCTACACTCATTCTAGTTGCGAAAGGGTTACAGAACCAGCGTCGAAATCACTATTTGGCTGAAGCGTTGTTTCGAGTGATCAGAGGACGGATGCGCCCACAAGAGGTGGCCCTTTTGAGAAGTTCGATGACGTTCGACGACGAGCAAGAGATGGAGAAGCACGACATGGTGCAGGCGGTGCGCAGTCACTGGCCAGTCAGCATTGTCAAGAAGCAGGAGGAAGTGGATGATCACATTCTGACACATCTTTTTGAGAGTTACGGTTCGTTGAATGTGGAGGAGGCAGCACAGTGATGAACTCCAGACGTGGCTAGAGTTGCAGCTATTCGTTCCGATTTGATATTGTAAACCCTTCTACGGTAGGATAGTCAGATTTGTCATGAAAACCGGGCCAGAAGTCCAAATTGATCGCAATGGATATTCCAACTCTCTAAAGCTGAACACATACAGATTGTGTTAGGATAGTAGGAACAATATTTACCTACATTGATTGGGGTCTTCCCCAGGTACTTCTCTCTTCCCTCCTAACCTTTCTTTTTGTTGCTGGCTGCCCTCATCAACTTTAGAGGCTTTATGTCCGTCCTTAATCTGCCTATGCGTCGGAGGGCTGGGCAGCAGCATCAGAATCTCAAAAACAACTTCAGACCCAAAAGCAGCAATTGCAATAGCAATATTGTATCTTCATTGGATACTTGAACCAAACATCAAAAAATGAGGTCGAGCCCGGGTTCGAACCGGGGTTGCCGGAATTTTTGATACGATCAAAATCCGGAGTGATAACCACTACACTACACAACCGAGTGGTTCATGTCCCGACAAGCGCTAAGCATGACTATCTATGATCCACTGCTGGGCTCCACACGACCACGTCATGAGTCATCGTTCCATTCCGCCGTGCACGCCAAATCCGTGTCTGGCTTTTTGTTTTCCATGAAAAGCCCCTTTGCTCTTTTGGTCTTCATTGACCATCATCCGCTTTCTGTGGGTTCACGGACGATGCGCAGTACATCGTGGAGGTGAGAGCCCACCATTTCGATTTTCATAACTCAAACCTCTGAACCCAGTGAGCTTTTGGCTTACCATTTCCCGGGAGATGATGTCCCGCCTAAAATTACAGCGGTCCCCCGCCAGTCCGCCCAAATTTGGCGCTGGAGTTGTAAACCCCTCCACTGTTGTAGTCGCCTCTGATCACTGAAGGATGAACAAGCTTCTCCGCAAACTTCCCCGCGATTTGATATCTCCCCTTTCTCGGCGTTGATGCCGATCCTACACACCACGACTGCTGAAATCGGCATCACGCATTTCTTCCGGCCCGCTACCTGTCCCGGCTCCGATTATGGCTTGAACTGGCCGCGCTGATCCGAGCAACTATTTGGAAGGCCTGTTCGGGAACTTTTGGCCGGTTAATAAAGTGATATGTCACGCTCCGGCTCGTCTCTCAAGCTTTCCCTCTGAAAATCCACCACTCACGGCTTGATACTATTGCCATTGTTGCATCGTTACGACTGAGATGAAGGTAAATACCCAGATAATACTGTGTGCTGTTACATGTCTTCAATGCTGACACGATGAAACCAAAGTTGGCATCCATCCTCACCTTGTCTCTGGCAGGCCTCCTAACCCCGCCATGCTTCGCAACAGTGGCCGACATACCAGGAGCATTCGGGCCAGTCTACCCGCTCACCCCATCCCCCGCAGGTGACATCTCCAAGTTTCTCAAGAGCCGCCCAAGAGACTTTGTCCATCCCGGAATCTGGCACACCCATGAAGATCTCGAGCGTATCCGGAATGGCGTACTTGAGGGCAAAGACCCATGGAAGGCCACCTTTGATGTATTCAGCAATGACAGCTACAGCCAGGCCACCTACCAGATGAAGGGACCCAAGGCGGTACTATCGCGCGGAAGCATCAGCAATCACAGCAGCTTCACTTCTGACTCTCGTGGGGCATGGCAGAACGCGCTGATGTGGTACATCACTCGCGACGAAGCGCACTGGAACCGCAGCACCACGATCCTAGACAGCTGGGGCTCTACGCTTGTCGACATCATTGGTACGGATCGATCTCTGCTGATCGGTTTAGAGGGCGACCTTTTCGTGAATGCTGCGGAGATCATGCGCTGGGAAGGCAACTGGACTGAGGCCGGGGCTAAGTGGCAAGGCGGATCAGGCTTCAGCATCCAGTTGTACTGGCTATTTTCTCGGCAGTCTGTCGCTATTGGGCAGGCTAACTACGGGATGGCAAGCATCAAGGCTTTACTTAGCTTCGCAGTGTACCTGGACGACGTTACGCTCTACAACTATGCCATCAATGAGTACCTCAACAACCCTTGTGCGGGCTTGTACTCCATGTTCGACCAGAAAACCGGACAATCATCCGAGTCCGGTCGTGATCAGAGTACGTGCCCCAGACATCTTGGTCAGGACGATTCGAATAACTGACATGCCACAGGCCACACCATGACAGGCATTGGTTGGGCCGCCACGGCTGCCCGAGTTGCGCAAAGTCAGGGGTCGGACTTGTACAGTCAAGGTGACAACCTGATTCTCAAAGGAGCCGAGTACACGGCAAAGTTCAACTTGAATGAGACGGTGGAGTACGACCCAAAGTGGTTCCGCTGCGAGGCGGTCCTTGTCGGCGGTCCTTGGGCTGCCATCTCACAGGAGAAGCGGGGTGTCACAGCGGACAACCCAATGTGGGACATTGTCTATTACCAGTACGTGGTCAAGAGAGGACTGAAGGCGCCGTGGACGACGAAGGCGAAACAGACAGTAGGACCTGAGGGGCCGTTGAGCCGAGTTGATCATCCGAGCTGGGGCGGCTTGATCTGGGCTTATTGAAAGAAATTCATGATGCAAATACAATATAAGGAGTGCACAATTATTAGCAGCTTGTCTGAAAATAAGATCCTTCTTCCCGCATTCATACCTCATGAAGCCAATGTCTTCGGCGAGAAAGAAATCTCGGGTACTTGGTTTAATAGTAATACACGAGACTTTCACTAATCATCAATACGAGGCTTTACCCCAGCATATTTCTCAATTTTTGCTGAAGACAACACTATAAGGTGGTACCAATCATCCTTGCAAGGTTTGTCGATTGAATATGTACGGATGGGATCAGGCGTGCACTCCTGATAATCCAACTAAAAGCTATGAGACGAGGAATAAGGTAAAGAAAATGATGTGAATGAGTGAATAGAAAATAAGCCGTCCACAACCAACTCATATGCAACAAGATGAACGTTCATCCCTACTCGCGTCTGTAGAGAAGAGTTCCGAATCCAAGTTGATCATAGCCACCGCTGTTCGGGCCATAGTCACCACCGCCACCCTCGGCACCACCGGCGCCCTCGTTGACAAGGTCGCGCATCTGTCCGCTCCACGAGGCGTTCAAGCCCTTGATCGAGTCGTAATGGGCATAGATGAGTTCCCAGATGGGTCGAAGACCGCCGCGTCCGGCTTCACTAATGACCGTAGCCGTCCCGTGGCTGTTTGTGAAATTTGCGAAGGGGACATCGTATCCGAGGTTGTACTTCGCCACATATTCCGCACTAAGTTCGTGTTAGCAAGTGTCACTACGATCCCAATGTCAAGACCTACCCTGCCAGAATTCTGTTGTCGAGATATCCGAATAGGTCGTCTCCCTGGTTGTACGACTGCTGGGCAAAGACGCCAAGGAAGGCAAAATCGAGCAGAGCGTGCCCCTGGTCTCTGCCGGCCTCCTGTCCCTGGCCCAAGGGCTTCTTCGAGCCAGCTTCCTCGTGAATCTTCCAGATAGCGTTCTCGATCTGGCCGTTGCCAGCCCCGTTCTTGAAGTAGTCGACCGCCTCGTTGTACATGGTGGCGTTGTCCGAGAGGATTCCGATGGCCTGCATGGTACACATGTTGGCCAAATCCCAGTTCGCCCAGTAGTGATCGATCGCGGCGCCGTTGTGTCTGACAAAGAAGTCGTGGTTCATCGGGTAGAACACGTTGGTCAACATGCTGGACAGAGCGTCCAAGCCCTTCCATCCGCTCCAGTCGCGGAGAAGCTCGCCCGCGTTAGCGAGCTGGTAACCGTAGATGCCACTCGCGAGGAACTTGTCCGAGGAGCCCCAGATGCGGAGCAAAGTGCTGCTCCAGGCGTCAAGGATACGGCCGGCAGCCTCGGCGTGAGTTTCGTTGCCGCTGATCTTCCAGTGGACGGCATTGGCGTAAGCGGCGGCCGCATCGCGGAAGAGGAGAGAATAGTTCTCCGTGCAGTCGCTGCCGGAGCCGCGGCAGAGCGTCTCTACCGGTCGAGGGGTGTAGCTGGCGACGGCGCGTACGGCGAGCTTGTCCCAGCCGGTTGTCCATGGCGCGCGGTTGGCCTTCAGGAAGCCGTTGATGCGTTGAAAGTCTTTAGCGGTGTGGAGGAGACCCGGGTGAGCGAAGGCTTTCTGAGCGTTGACATCGCGAGTGACACATGCACTCGCCAGCGAGGCCAGGGCGAGGGCCCAAGAAAGGAAAGTGAAGTGAATGTTGAACCTCATCTTGCCGGATGACAGGGGTAAACTGTGGGGTTCAACGACCTGAACGACTTGTGGTGGCAGGTCGCTCATTACCAAAATGGAAGACGAAGAAAGAAGACCTTTATCTACCCTCATCCCTTTCGGACATCTGATTCCACGCTGTTTCTCGAAAAATGAGAAATGATGTGGATGTCGTAACCGCCCCGCCCGGGACTTTTCCCGCCTTGCTCGGTCGGCAGACAATTTCCATGGTGAAGCAGAGTACCGGATGGTTTTCGCATCTCAGTTGAAGAAAACCATGGGAATTTTGATTGTTTCCCTACTAGGCCGTGAAAGTCTATCGCATCCGAGATTTAAGGGGTGTGTCAGCTGAAGGCAAGGTTTAGGAGGTGGGCCGGGGTAAGGTCCCACTGCCGATCCCGTTCGGCCCTCCTGAACTTCATTTAACACCGGAGCCGGGCCCGGGCAATGGCCCGGTGTATGGAAAGCTTAACTGTTCGTGAGAACCCTTTTCTGGTGCTTCCCGAAGAAAACACAACTTCGTACCCAAGTTAATGGGATCACTGTCCTCGATGGATAGAAACTGATCGTCAATTCTAGCTAACAACGTGTTGCTCATGAGGGTGGCTCTGACCCGAGCTCTCAGGTCACAATATCTTGAACAAGTTGACGATGACACGGAATGCCTATGGAACTTCAATATATCTCACCGACGGAACGTTGACTTTCTCCACGCCATTTTGCCGTCTTTTATTCACGTACGATCGTCCCATCTTCCTTTTCTCATTTTAGCTAAAGGAAAACACGAGGGCAGATTGTGAGTGACCTACCTATCCACAGATAGCAATTTGTGTGTGTGACTGCTCTGCTGGATGCTCTGCTGCGCCCAGTCAGTCACCTCAGCCACAAGATAACTTCATTCTCAGCAAATGCCTCCGAATAATATCGCCGCGATATTTGATCGGCGGTAGTAACTTGTTACGACCCGTCATGCAAGGATAACAGTCGGCCGACCCACCTGGACATTAGGCAGCTAGGACAGGACATTTATACTACAAGATCACAGGAGCAACAGGGACTCACTCAGAACAGAAGAACTATAGTATAAGTCACGTGACGATAAGATAAGACTGAGTAGGTAGTATAGAGTACTAAGCGCTTTATAGGAACTACTAAGCGCTTACTAACAATCACTAAGCGCTTACTAGTACTTAGATAGGAATTAGTAAAGCAGAATAAAGAAACTATTTAGAACTTATATATAGTATAACTTGAAACCTAAGGTTAGACTTCTATAGCTCTTTAG